GTGCAGATAGCATGGCTACATTTGTGATGTACAGCATGCTGTCCTCTCAAATACTCCCTATACTCCGCTTGCTATTACATGGATTCAGATCCAAAGAAGGGAGAAATAATGTTACACCATTCATATTTATAGAGAAAATTTAGGGACTATAAATACACACTGAAATAAAAACGTATAATTAAGATGAATTTAAGTCAAAATTAAGAAGTGGGAGGGCTGGAGAGATGGCTCAGAGGTTAAGAGCATTGCCTGCTCTTCCAAAGGTCCTGAGTTCAGTTCCCAGCAACCACGTGGTGGCTCACAGCCATCTGTACTGAGATCTGGTGCCCTCCTCTGGCGTGCAGGCATACATGGAGGCAGAATGTTGTATACATAATAAATAAATAAATCTTTAAAAAAAAAAAAAAAAAAAAAATTAAGAAGTGGGAGCCTGCTGGGCAGTGGTGGTGCACGCTTTTAATCCCAGCACTTGGGAGGCAGAGGCAGGTGGGTCTCTGTGAGTTAGAGGCCAGCCTGGTCTCCAGGAGCTAGTTAGTTCCAGGACAGGCTCCAAAGCTACAGAGAAACCCTGTCTCAAAAAACCATAAAAAAAAAGAAGTGGGAGCCTAACGGTTTTATAGAAATTAATGGAAAGCTCTCATTTCACTACAATTGAGAGCCTGCAACTAACTAGAGAGCTGCACTGGCCTCTAACTCGTGATCCTATTGCATCAGCCACTTCAGTGCTAAGTTCGGGAATGTGTGCTATCACACCCAGCTAGAGAAGTCAATTCAGATTCAACTGGACATTTGTGTAGGGGTCCTGTGTCATGTGTGCACATGTGAGTGCGAAACGGTGTGTAGTGTAAGACCAGAGTGTCGTTCCTCAGGGCCTATCTACCCGTTTCCCTAGATGGCGCCTCTTACTGGTCTGAGGCTCACCAAGTGGGCCAGGCTGCTGGACAGCCAGCTCCGGGAACCTGCCTGTTTCTGCCCCTGCAGCGCTGCGACTACAAGCATGTGTCATCACACCTAGAATTTTGTTGTTTATTTCGTTTTGGTTTTTTTGAGACAAGCGTTTCCCTCTGTAGCCGTGGCTGTCCTGGAACTCGCTCTGTAGACCAGGCTGATCTCAAACTCACAGAGATCCACCTGCCTCTACCTCCTGAGTGCACCACCACAACCCAGCTAGATTTTTTTAAATTAACATGGGTCAAATGAAGATCCATGTGCTTGCAAGGCTGACTGACTCATCTCCCCAGTTGGACATTTTTGCTCTGTTTTGCATGCAGACCAGCTTATGTCATGAAGTCCTGAGAAAATAGCAGCGGTCACCTTACAGTACAGCAAAGACAGGTGACACACCTGTCATGCTCCATATCTGTACATATCTCACGTCACAGTAGGTCTGCATACTGTACACATAAAAATGCTAAGAAACACACTGCTTAGGGCTGGAGAAATGGCTCAGTTGTTAAGAGCACTGGCTGCTCTTTCACAGGTCCTGAGTTCAATTCCCAGCAACCACATGGCAGTTCACAACCATCTGTAAATGAGGTCTGGTGCCCTCTTCTGGCCTGCAGGCACACATGCAGACAGAACACTGTATACATAATAAATAAATAAATAAATCTTAAAAAGAAAAAAAACACTGCTTTCAGTGGCACCTACCATGCCTGCAGAAGAATTGAATGACGACTCTGCATTTATCTGATCTGGTGACTATTTTGCATTTCTCTACACTTCTTTCAAGATAATTCAGACATCTAAAGATTGGTAGAATTGACTGCAACATAAATACATTGTAACATTAAACACATACTTAGTATGGCTGTCCCATTAACTTTTTAAAACTGAACTGATAAAAAGTCTGTGTATTCATAAATGGCATTGGAATGATTAAGTATATATAGTACAGCTGTTATATCCTACAAAAGGCGTATTTCTCCCTTTTAAGAGGAAACCAACTTTTTTACCTTTATTGTCAATTTGCAATTTAAATTCATCGTGGCTGAGGGTGACCATTGATACTGTTGAAAAAACAAAGACGAGAACAGAATATAGCCATATGTTGAATGACAGGAATTCACAGACCTCAGAGCAAGCTGGAAAAAAATAAGTTAGTTATTTCAGAGAAAATCAACTTCTATCCTGAATTGATCCTATTATGAATATAATGCTACAAGTATATTCAAATGAAACCAAGCACATTGAATTTACACATGGACACCTACATATATGTATCTATATTGAACATATGTTTACAAAATCTATAATCCTAAACTCTGGCACTGTAAAAGCGTAAATGTCTACAGTGACCATAGTGTTAATGCATAAAAGGATGGAAAAGGGCTAGAAAAGGGCCCTGAGCAACTGATCATCTCATCTCTTGTCCATGGGGAGAAGCTACCACTCAGTCAGCCATCCTGGGAATGCCTAGAACTGTCAGGTTCTAAATTAAGTGCTTGGGATTATACCTGCCACCCGGCCCTTCGACTTGGCTCTTTTAACCATCTCTTTTCTCTTTTCGTTTTATTTATTTATTTATTTATGTTTTCAAGGGTTTCGCTGTAGCTTTGGAGCCTGTTCTGGAACTGCCTCGAACTCACAGAGATCCACCTGCTTCTGCCTCCCAAGTGTTGGGATTAATGGCCTGTGCCATCACGTCGGGCTTTTTTTTTCCTCCCCGAGAAAAGGTTTTACTGTAGCATTTGGAGCCTGTCCTGGAACTCTGTAGACCATGCTGGCCTCGAACTCACAGAGATCCGCCTGCCTCTGCCTCCCGAGCGCTGGGATTAAAGGCATGCGCCACCACCTGGCTCACGCTGGGCTTTTTTTTTTATTTTTTTAAAAGATTTATTTATTTATTATGTATACAGCAGTCCTTCCATGTATGCTTGCATGCCAGAAGAGGGCACCAGATCCCATCATGGATGGCTATGAGCCACCATGTGGTTGCTGGGAATTGAACTCAGGGCCTCTGGAAGAGCAGTCAATGTTCTTAACCTCTGAGCCATCTCTCCAGCCCCTCATGCTGGGCTTTTTAACTGGACTTACTTACGCCTTTCTCAGATGGGTCTAGCCACAGGTCATCACTCACTCGTGATAGAGTCTGTATTGCTTTTCCAAATACTGTGGAGGAAAAGAAAGGTGCTGTTTATATTCTTTCTAGCAATAAAGAGAAATCGCAGGACCACTTCTGCATGCACAGGACTGAAACGAAAATTGGAAAGGACAGCAGAATGAACTGAACAAGTTAATCATGCCGGTCAAATTCTTCAGTGGAGCTCTTTATTACTACTGCCCTGTGGGTAAGATTCCCAGAGATAGAAATAGGGTCTTTTGGTAGTGCAGAGACTACCCAACCAAAGCACTGGAAATTGTTGGCAACCATCCTACCCAAGGCCTATTCTGTACCACTGCTTCTTCAGCCTGGCTCTGACCATTCACTCTGATCCTGGGCAAGAGACTGGAAAGTCACTGGCTATCTCGACTTTAACAACATTCGGCATCTAGGCCTCCAGTATGTCCAGGTTAGATCATAATGATCTCAACTTTGATGCTCTGTCGAGTCCTAGCAAGTTGCATCACCGTGCGAAGAATCACCGTGAGAGGAATTCACCACAAAGTGACCAGATGTATGTATGTTATGCCACTGAGCTGGAAAAAGTGGCCTGAAATCCCCTTTTCCTTTATGTGTCTCAACAATTTCCCATTAAGTGATTACATTTGACTTTTAGGTTTAGGGTGGAACAAAGCTCAGGATGCACCTGAGAGTTAAATTATTCAGCTGATCCCCACAGCATTTTATAGATTAATTTACCTTAAGAAATACCATATAATACCCTTTACATACATAGTAAGAATTCAAAAACAGAGAAAAAAGAAACAAAAAAATTCATTAAATCTGCAGTGATACAAAATGATGTCTCCTGCAAGTCAATTTCTACGGTAATGCTTTCGTTCATTTTCTTTTTGGGTTCTCCCACACTCTGCAGGCAGACTGAACCTAGGCCTTGTACATGTCAGGCAAGCTGTCTGTGCCCACGAACCCTGTTCCAAGCCCAGTCATTCCCTTTTGTAAGGCTGTGTACAATATAGTTCCCCACATTGTCCTTCTAATTACTGGGCTCAATTCATCTACTTCATGCTTATGACAAACTCTTATCAACGACGGTGTTAATATTAGTCTCATCTTCCAATTAAGGAAACTGAGCTTCAAAGTGACATAGTAGCTTGTTCTAGTATATATATATGTGTGTGTGTGTGTATGTGTGTGTGTGTATGTGTGTGTGTATATATATATATATATATATATATATATGAAAAGAAAAAAAAACAACAAACAAGCCTGGTCTACAAGAGCTAGTTCCAGGACAGGCTCCAAAAGCTACAGAGAAACTCTGTCTTGAAAAATCAAAAAAAAAAAAAAAAATTCTCTGGTAGAATCTCAAATGGAGATCGGGTTTTTCCCGGACTCAAAATTCTTTTGTTGGTAAAGTGTTATTTTCTTCTCAACTTCTCCCCACATCAGCCCTGGTCAATCCGAGCTTAATGCCCAATGCTACAGTTCATTTCATGGTCACCAAATTACTAGGCTAACTAAAGAAAAAGGGGCTGTCACGCTATTCGAAGCGCAGCAGGGCCCTCATGAGGGCGCTGAGGCGAGGCTTTGCGTCCTCAGTCCTGGCGAAGTACGGCAGAGGAAGCGTAAGGAGACGATGGAGACACTTCAGAGACACTAGGGTCTCCCTCTTCTAAGTAGCAAAACAAGAATGGCCACTCCACCTTTCACCTGACCGCCCGTCATCCCGCACTTCAGCATGGCTACCGGAAAGACGGGCACGGCGGGCGAAAGCGTACCCGCCGCTGGTACCCGGATGTTATACACACTGCCCACTGTCTCCGCCTCTATCTTGGCCCCACCCACGCGTTTCGCTTTCTGACTGGGACTGACCTTTCCGAGGCCTCGTAGGACCGTCCCTCGCAAACTCCGCGTCTTATTGGTGGCGGAAGAAATGGGCGGGTCTACTAAGAAACCCGAGGAAGAGGGCGGCGGCGTTCGTGGTGACTGAACGAAGCCTGGTGACAGGATGGTGAGCACCGTGGCGGCGGCCACCCGGGTCGGACCAGGATACTCCGGCGTCGGGGACGAGGACGCTCCGGGAGGCTGGGGCGGGCGCGGCCTAGGAGCGAGCCTGGGGAGACCGCGGAGGAGGGAGGGGGAAGATCGCGGCTGGCCAGGGTGCGGCCCGGCCTGGCTCGCCCCTCGCCCCTGCGGCCAGAGGGCGTGCGTGGAGGACCCGGCCTCTCGTCCTGTCACGAGATCGGCTCGCTGTGGCCGGGAGAGGCCTCGGGCCGTCCGTGTGGTCGGACGTCTTCTTCCTGCTTCTTCGGGGCTTGCTGGGGACAGCCGGCCTCGGTGCAGAACGAGAAGTAGCCGCTGCATTGGCCACTCCGGGCGGGGACCCGGAAAGGGACTGCTTGTCAGCTGTGGCTGCTGCGACCCCTTAGAGCGAACGCATGGGGATCGTTTGAAGTCTGAGATGTGCGTGTTATTTGCAGAGCTTTAGCTTCCCTAGTCTGCATCAGGCCTTTGCTCCCGATAGATTGCTGCCCCCTGCGACCTTGCTCAATGAAACCTGGGGAGCAGACACGTCCACGTAATCAGACTTTTAAAAGACATCCTGTGCTCTCCAAAGTTTATAGAGGGCGTTTGAGCTTTGCTGTTTGTGCTGAGGAACGTTAAAGTGAAGGTACCTCTTTGACTGATGGGCACACGTTGCGTTTTTAGAGATTATTCTTCAAACGACCTTTGAAAAGGTGGTTTATAAATGTTCCAAAGATGTGTGCTTAACAAAGATTTTCGCTTCTAAACAGACTCCAGTTTAAGGTAGACTAGTTAATTATGGCAGTTTGGAGATACTTCCAGGAAGAAGAATTAGCTGCCATGATCCATGTTTCTGAAGTCGTTTTGAGAAGTGAACACTTAGGTTTAAGGGTCACTACTATTCATCACGTTTCTTTTAAAAATTTCTTTTAATTTTTGTGTATGCGTGTGTCTCCGTGAGCTTTATGTGCACCACCCAAGTACAGGTACCATTGGAAGCCAGAGGGCTTGGGATCCCAGAACTGGAGATACAATTGTGAGATGCCATGTGGGTGCTGGAAACCAAATCCAGGACCTCTGCAAGATCAGCAAGTGCTTTTAACTGATGAGCCATCTCTTGATGCCTAAGTCAGGTTATTACAATATAGCACCCAAGCTGGCCTGGAATTCACAGAGATCTGCCTGCCTCTGTCTCCCAAGTGCTGGAACCAAATGAGTGTGTCACCACACTGAGTGTGTGTTGGTTTTTATTGTCGTGATCTTTCTTGGCATTTTCATCATATGTATTCACGTTAGTAATGTCCTCTATAGCAAAAACTTCCCCTGGAGAATGGGTTTTTACTACTAAAACCTCAAACATTAAAAAAAGATAAAATAAATAAACAAATAAAACCAGTGTACTCCAGAGACAGCAAGACCCCAGGAACCAGAAAAGCATAGCCTTAACCTATTCCCAGTGAATTCTTCAAATTATAAATATCTAATCTTACAAAGAGTAAACTGAATGAAAAATTAAGGGACAGGAGTCGACGTGGAAAGCAAGGTTAGAGAATGTAGATGACATTGGCAGGGCAGGTGTGCTGTGTTTGTCCTCTGCTGAGAGATGAAGTGGGTACTTCTGGAATTATTTTCAGCACAGATGATTTTTTAACATTTCCTTTCATAACATTCAGAAATCATTAACAAATTTTGCATATTTGGTATGTTTTTTTTCTTTTAACTTTTGTTGCTTTCTTTTAACATTGGTCATGTTTCACCCTTTTTTTTTTCATTCCCCTGTCTGCAATCAACTTCTTCATTCCACTAAGGCTGGGCACAGAGTAAGTTTCTTTTCTACGCTCCTACTAACAATGGTGGTTGGGTGGCTGATAACTGATCTCTCAAGTAGGAAGTGGCCTAATCCCCATGCTTTGTTTAGATTGTTTATATGAATATAACAAGACAGCCATTTCCAGACCCTTTGCTGCCTCTCATGTTTGTCTAACCTGATCTATCACCATGGAGTTTAGGCAGGGGCACTTGTGACATGTATGTCTCCTAACTTGGTCATCAGTAGAAACCATAGGACTCTGTCCTACTGTGGATCTTTGATAGTTCCTGTGTGGCCATTTATCCAGTGACAGTTTTCACATATTAATAGTCAAGGAGATGGATGGCACCTCATAGAATTGATGTCTTCAGTCATAATACAGTACTGTCTCGCTAATGTTCTTTCTGGTATATTCTGACTGAACAGTTCATTTTTTTAGTCCCAGAGATAAACACCCTCTTATGAGTTCCGAGATTTTTCTTTTATTTTTTTTTAAATATTTGTTTATTTATTATGTATACAATATTCTGTCTGTGTGTATGCCTGCAAACCAGAAGAGGGCACCAGACCTCATTACAGATGGTTGTAAGCCACCATGTGGTTGCTGGGAATTGAACTCAGGACCTCTGGAAGAGCAGTCGGTGCTCTTAACCTCTGAGCCATCTCTCCAGCCTCAAGATTTTTCTTTTAGTATAGAAAATGTTTTCCAGCATGTCACAGTAACTGTTCATTAATCCAAATGTGAAGGGACCCCTCTTCAGTGAAGACTGTTCTATGTCAAGGTGCTTGTTACTGATTGAGGGTGGATACTTTGTAGTCAGTTTAGCTTTCCAAGGTGTTCCCCAGCATGGACTGCTGCAGCTGCCCTGTGTTGGAAACAGTTCCTCTTATTTACAGTCCTTTTGACTTTGTTGTCAGATAATCAAGCTTGCTCTAGTAATCATTCTTACTGGACATATTCTGGGTTTTGATTGATCTTAAATTTTATTTTTTTTTAAATTTGGTTATTTTATGTGGATGTGCTTTGTCTGTATGTCTTACTGTGCACTACCTGTGTGCCTGGTACCCTCCAAGGCTAGAAGAGGGAATCAGATCTCCTGGAACTGGAGTTAGAGTTGTGAGCTGCTGTGTGCTGGGAATCAAACCTAGATCATCTGGAAGAGCTGTCAGTGCTCTTAACCACTGAACCATCTCTTCAGCTGCCAAATTATTTTAAGTCAGTTTTAAAATTATGGTGGCCAGGCCAGGTGGTGGTAGCAGTCGCCATTAATCCCAGCACTTGGCAAAAAACAAAAACAACAAAACAATTATGGTGGCAAAAGTTTTATCATATTAAACATGTAATGCTTTCTTTGAAACTGTTGATAAGCATGACTTGAAAAGCAGTTACAGTGTGTGCACTGATGAGTGGAACATGGTACAATGAAGATCCTGTAAGTGTGCTTATACTAATCAACATGGAAAATCTCTTCTGTTACTCTCGGGAGGGGGGGGGCATGTGTTATCTTTAAATGAACTTTTTTTTCCCCTTTTCTTTTCTTTTGGAGTGGTGGGGAGGTTGACACAGGATTTCTCTGTGTAACAGCTCTGGCTGTCCTTGAGCTCACTTTGTAGACCAGGCTGGCCTCAAACCCACAGAGATCCGCCTACCTCTGCCTCCTGAGTGCTGGGATTAAAGGCGAGCACCACCAACACACAGCTTTAAATGGACTTTTTAAAAACAATAATGTCAGTTTATTTTGTTCACTCTTGAAATTTTTAATCTAAAATTTCATGGGATTGTCCCTCCCCCTTTTTTAGACAGGATTTCACTATGTAGCTTTGGCTGGTCTGGAGCTTGCTATGTAGACCAGGTTGGCCCTGAATTCACAGAAATCTTCCTGCCTATTCTTCCTTGGTGCTGGGATTAAAGGAGTGTGCCACCATGCCTGTTTTAGGCTTGGCTTTTTAATTCTTTGACATTTCAGAGCAAATTTTGTTTTTGTCATCTGAGACTGGCAGCTCTAAACTGCTCCCTGCTGATCTCATTACTCAATCATCTGCCTTTTTGTTTTACTCTCTAATGCACATGATGATTGTAAAGTGTTATTTTTTTTTAAGTTTACACACTATACTGAGGGAGTGGAAGAAGCAGTTTTATCCAGGTAATAGAAATATGACAGTGGGGATTTCTAGTGAAAGAAAGTGAAGACAGCAAAGCTTATAAGAAGAAGCACATATGTATCTATTGAGACTCTAAAGTATTAGGCCTTTGTGCCCTGTGACATACTGCTAAGAATTTGAAATAGCAAAATCAGTTAATTTGGGCTAATGTTCTCCAAAGAGTCCTTTTTTTTTTCTGAAGCTGAGGACCGAACCCAGGGTCTACCACTGAGCTAAATCCCCAACCCCAAAGAGTCCTTTTTTTGAGTTGAGGACCAAACCCAGGGCTTTGCACTTGCTAGCAAGCATTCTACCACTGAGCAAAATTCCCAACCCCTCCAAAGAGTTCTTAGCACAAGCTATAAAATTAACTTTTTCCCTAATTTTTTATATTTATATACATACATACATATATGTATGTATTTTGTGTGTGTGTGATAGTTTCGCTTGCAGCATTGGCTGGCCTAGAACTGGAATTTGCAATTTGCATGCCATGTAGCCCAGGTTGGTCTTGAACTAGCAATCCTCCTGTCTTAGCCTCCTGAATGCTGGATTTACAAGCATGAACCTCCATACTCTATATTCATTCCTCCCTCCCTCCCTCCTTCCCTCCCTATTTCCCTCCCTCCCTGCTTCTCCCTCCCTCCCACTCTCCTTCCTTTCCTTCTCCCTCCCTTCTCCTTTTGAGACAGGGTCTCACTGTATTATTTTAGGCTGCCCTGGAGCTTACTTTGTAGACAAGGTTGTCCGCCTGCCTCTGTCTCCTGAGGGTTAAGATTAAAGGGCATGTGCCACTACTGCCCAGCCATATTACCACAACTGTTTTGTCTGCGTGTATCCAATCACACCAGCTAGTGCAGTACTTGAAAAGCTCAGAAGAGAGTGTCGGATCCACTAGAGCTAGAATTAAATGGTCAGCTGTCTTGTGGGTGCTGGGAATTGAACCTGGGACCTCAGCAAGAGCAATCAGTGCTCTTAACATCTAAGCCATCTCTCTAGGGTCATATTTCATTTCTGATAATTTCCTTTAACAATGATTTTGCAATTAAATAGGTTTATATTACAGCTTCAGATAGGATTACTGTGTCATTCTTCAAAACTATCGAATGCTGTAGATTCTAGCAGTTCAGTTTGCAGTGTCTATCTTATTCAGTGATTCAATGTAATGTATAGGTTTCTAAATCAATCTTTTTTACTTTTTCTGAGACAGTATCTCTGTGTGTGGCTGTGGCTGACCTAGAACTCACTATGTAGACTAGGCAGGCCTTGAACTTGCAGTGGTCTCTTGCCTCTGCTCCCCGCCCCAGTGTTGGGTTACAGGTGTGTGCTCTCACCTGGCTAGTGGATCACTTTAGAAAACTTGATTTTATTATATTTTTTTATTGGTTAAATAAAATAACACAACTTTAGATATCCAAGATTAAGATTAGCTTAGAACAGATATGGTACCACAGGCTAGGAACCGCATCAGTAACGTTCGCTCTGCTGGGTTCTTGGACTCTCTGCCAAGTCTAAAGGGGTAGTCATGGGAGGATCGTGTTGTCTGCCATCACATCTAACGCTGTGTTTGTTCCACTCCGACACCTGAAAGTTGGTGTTGGTGTTAGGAGATCTGCACATTCCACACCGGTGCAACAGCCTGCCGGCTAAATTCAAAAAACTCCTGGTGCCAGGAAAAATCCAGCACATTCTCTGCACTGGGAACCTTTGCACCAAGGAGAGCTATGACTATCTCAAGACTCTGGCTGGTGACGTCCACATCGTAAGAGGAGACTTCGATGAGGTGCCATTTTCCTTTCTCTCCCATCTGTACCCCTTTCTTGCTGTTTTGTATAAACTTTATTATTTAAGCTTGAGTTTTTCCATGGTCGCCCCACCACCGCCACTTTGAAAAATTACCCTTGAACCTAGAAATGTTTGGTGGTCGAACACCTCTCTAAGCATACACGGTGCCTGGGTTCAGTCCTCAACAGCATAGTTATTTGTCACCCAAATAAAAATTAGAGGTGAACTATCCATTAGTTTGCAGCCAGTGTTCTGAATTTAGGCATTCTCAGATTTTGGGATATTTGCACATATATAATGAGATGTTAGTGGTAAGAACCAGGTCTAAACAGCAAATTCATTTTTGTTTCATATTTTTAAATTTGTTTTTCAAGACATGGTTTCTCTGTGGCTTTGGAGCCTGTCCTGGAACTTACTTGGTAGACCAGGCTGGCCTCAAACTCAAAGAGATCCACCTGTCTCTGCCTTTGGAGGGCTGGGATTAAATGCATGTACCACTGCCCGGCTACATTGCTAATAACTATATACACATAGCCTAACTATACAAATAAATTTCTGGCCATGTGGGGCTCTAAAAGACCCTGTTTGGAAGGGGAATAAAATTAAAGAGTTGTTATTCAGGGAGGTGGTAGCTCATACCTTTAATCCCAGCACTTGGGAGGCAGAGGCAGGCAGACCTCTCTTAGTTTGAAGCCAGCCTGGTCTACAGAGCAAGTTCCAAGACAGCCAGAGCTACACAGAGAAACCCTGGCTTGAACCCCCCCCCCAAAAAAAAAAACGCCAGGCAGTGGTGGTGCACACCTTTAATCCCAGCACTCGGGAGGCAGAGGCAGGCGGATCTCTGTGAGTTCGAGGCCAGCCTGGTCTACAAGAGCTAGTTCCAGGACTGGCTCCAAAAAGCTACAGAGAAACTCTGTCTCAAACAAACAAACAAAAGAAAAAAACCAATCATAGGGTCCTGAGTTCAATTCCCAGCAACCACCTGGTGACTCACAACCATCCATAATGAGATCTGGTGACCTCTTCTGGTCTGCAGGAATACATGAAGACAGAACACTGCATACATAATAAATAAATCTTTTTTAAAAAACTTGGGTATTGTAAGTATTAAAGCCTGGATATAATTTAAATAAATCCCAGTTTATAAGTTATGTGCCTTAAGTTGTGAAAATTACAAGTTTGGGGATAATTACTCTCTAAATTTTTTATTACAGTATTTGTGCATGCATGTAAATAGTACTTATGTGACGGTCAAAGGACAACAGCTTGTGAAGTCAGTTCCCTCTTTCTACCATGTGGGATCCAGGGATAGAATCCAGGCTGAGGGGCAAGTATCTTTACTTGCTGAGCCATCTCCCCAGCCCAGGAATAGTTATTCTTTACAGCACACCCTAAAGAACCCATATTCTATAAAAATTAACTCAATAAAGCAGTTGCTTGGAAGCTTCCAATTTACATTGGCTGGATTGGGTTTTATACACTATTGCAGTTTTACAGGCTGAGGAGAAACTTTTTATAAATGTATTTGTTGTAGGTCTGAAGATACCTATATGAGGTTGAATATTTAAACAAATTGAATAAGTTTCATCCTATCAGAAATGTGTATTTTCCTTGTGTCTTTTTTTATATTAGAATCTGAATTACCCAGAACAGAAGGTTGTGACTGTGGGGCAGTTCAAGATCGGTCTGATCCATGGACACCAAGTTATTCCATGGGGAGACATGGCTAGTTTGGCCCTGCTGCAGAGGCAGTTTGATGTGGACATTCTTATCTCAGGACACACACACAAATTTGAAGCATTTGAGCATGAAAATAAATTCTACATTAACCCAGGTTCCGCTACTGGGGCATATAATGCCTTGGAAACGTAAGTACCACAACTTAGCATTTAGTACTTTAGAAAAAGTAGTAATTGCATGACGTTCATAAAGAGAAATACAACATTTAAATAAGAGTCTGTGTGGTGGCACACACTTTTAATCCCAGTACTCTGGAGGCAGAGGCAGGTAGATCTCTTTGAGTTCAAGGCCAGCCAGGGCTACATAGTGAGACCCTATTTAAAAAAACACACAATAAACAGGTAAAAAAAAAAATTGTTTTGCTTTTGTTTTTCGAGATAGGGTTTTTCTCTATGTAGCTTTAGAGCCTGTCCTGGAACTTGCTCTGTAGATCAGGCTGGCCTTGAACTCACAGAGATCCTCTTGCCTCTACCTCTTGAGTGCTTGGATTAAAGGCATGCGCCACCATGACCCAGCAAACAGGTAAATGTCAGCAACCCCTTTTTATTATTTTTTTTCTTTCTTTTTTGAGACAGGGTTTCTTTGTGTAGCCTTGGCTGCCCTGGAACTCACTTTGTAGACCAGGCTGGCTTCACACAAACAGAGACCCACCTGCCTCTGCCTCCCTGAGTGCACCACTCCCACCCTGTTACTGGTGTTAATTTCAGTGTGAAGGTAACAATCATATTTCTCCTGGAGTTCAATACCTTGAATTGAAATTTACAGTGCTTTTGCTTTAGTACAAAACACTAACACAGTTTATTTCTCTTCCAGAAATATTATTCCTTCATTTGTCCTGATGGATATCCAGGCTTCTACAGTGGTCACTTACGTCTATCAGCTTATTGGAGATGATGTGAAAGTAGAACGAATTGAATACAAAAAATCTTAAAGCTAGGCTTGTCTTGATCATTTTCTGTTTTTTTTTTCCCCCATTTTCTTGTTCAAATGAATTAAACACTTAAGAGGCACACAGTTGTGTCACTTTTATAATATTTTGCACTAAAAGGTATCTTCTGTTTAGAACATAGTTCCTCTAAGATTCTTGTAAACTATAAGAATATTCTTAGCTTGCAGTATATGGTTTCTATGAAAAGAAGTCCACCATACAGTATAGGGCCATTTAAGAAAAATTTATCTTTGTAAGTATCTTCCTAGTTGGTATTTGGACTTCATTACAAAACTAGTGCATGAAGAGAAAGAATCCAGAATTTCTGTGTATGTTTTCTCTTCTTTAGTAATAAATGTTTACCTTCCATTTAGACTTTCTTGAAAACCTGTGTTTAATTTAAAAACTACAGACTTAAAATCCCAGTAATCAAGAGACAGAGGCTCTTAAGACTTGAATACCACATAGTAAAGGTGGCTTACACCTTTAATCCCTGAACTTGAAAGACAGAGGCAGGAGGATCTCTGAGTTGAGTTCAAGGCCAGCCCAGTCTATAAAGTGAGTTCCAGGATAGCCAGAGCTACACAGGGAAACACTGTCTCTAAAACAAAACAAGCGCAATGTTAAAAAATGAGATATCAAATGCAACCGCAGGTGTGTTAGAGTGAAGGGGTGCACAGCTACAGATGTGTTAGAGTGCAGGGGTGCACAGCTACAGGTGTGTTGGAATGCAGAGGTGCACAGCTACAGGTGTGTTAGAGTGCAGGGGTGCACAGCCACAGATGTGTTAGAGTGCAGGGGTGCACAGCCACAGATGTGTTAGAGTGCAGGGGTGCAAAGCCACAGATGTGTTAGAGTGCAGGGGTGCACAGCCACAGATGTGTTAGAGTGAAGGGGTGCACAGCCACAGATGTGTTAGAGTGCAGGGGTGCACAGCCACAGATGTGTTAGAGTGCAGGGGTGCACAGCCACAGATGTGTTAGAGTGCAGGGGTGCACAGCCACAGATGTGTTAGAGTGCAGGGGTGCACAGCCACAGATGTGTTAGAGTGCAGGGGTGCACAGCCACAGATGTGTTAGAGTGAAGGGGTGCACAGCCACAGATGTGTTAGAGTGAAGGGGTGCACAGCCACAGATGTGTTAGAGTGCAGGGGTGCACAGCCACAGATGTGTTAGAGTGCAGGGGTGCACAGCTACAGATGTGTTAGAGTGAAGGGGTGCACAGCTACACATGTCTTAACAGTAGTAGTTCTCATCTTGTAGGTTTTCCCTTTTGGGAGTCAAATGACTCTTTCACAGGGGTCACCTGAGAGAGACCTTCAGAAAACTGATATTTACAATTTATAACAGTAGCAAAATTCTATTTTGAGTTATGAGGTAGCAATGAAAATAATGTTATGGTTGGGGTGATGACAACATTAGGAACTTTATGAAAGGGTCTTAGCATTAGAAAGGTTGAGAACCACTGTGTTAGAGTAAAGGCATGTGGTGGCACATGCCTGTCGTTCTCTTCAGGAGGACCAGGCAGGATGGTGTCAAAACATGAGACCTGCTTCATAGCTTATGAACACTGTACCATGCTGACAATAAGTCAGCAGTGATTCTTAAGTCCTCCTGCTGCTAATGTGTTTATCTGTTTGTAACAATAATTTCTTTTTGAGGAGGTTTCACTATGTAGCCCTGGCTTACGTGGAATTCAAAATGTAGACCAGGTTAGCTTGGAACTCAAAGAAACCTGTCTTTCTTCTCAAGTGCTAGGATTAAATATATATGCCAACACGCTTGTCTTATCCATAGGTTTATAATTTATATTTAATAGCAAATATTGAGTACCTGCTTTACAAGTTGCGACCTACACGTGCTATTTTGTGTAAATATTTTTTGGTTTTCCTACTTTAATCAAGAAAAATCTTATATAATATTCAACTATTACTATTTTGGAACTGATTATAAGCTGAAAGAACAATTAATATATTTGCCAGGTTGAAAAAAAATCATACCAGGCATAGTGGTGCACACCTTTAATCCCAGCACTCAGGAGGCAGAGGGCAGGTGGATCTCCGTTTGAGGCCAGCCTGGTCTGAAGAATGAGTTCTAGGACAGCCAGGGCTACACAGAGAAACCCTGTCTCAAAAAACAAAAACAAAACAACAACAACAACAAAAGAGGCGCTGGTGCTCTTCTAGTGGACCTGGGTTCAATTCCTAGTACCCACATGGCAGCTCACCAGTATAATCCCAGGAGTTTCAATACCTTTGCACAGACATACCTGCAGGCAAAACGCCAATGCACATAAAATAAATTTTTAAAAATTTAGTGTATGTGGCAAGTAAAATTTTAATTGTTCCTAGCTAGAAACAAGCATACATTACACAGATATCATTGGTACACAGAAGCATATAGGATGAAGAAGGCTGTGTCAATCTCTCAACAACTCAGTTGACATACTGGTGACTAGCACTATCCATACATGGCTCACAACTCTTCCCTGTCCACCTCTGGCTCAGCATCTGGATGTTGGCTGATGGCTGACCTTGGTCTGGAGACTTTGGGGCTAAGATGGGGTGTCCGGTTCTTGAATAGACATGGTCTGCATGCACTCATTCAGTAGATCTTCTTCCTTTGTTCCTTCACTCGTGCATGGCTGAGAACCATCTGAAGAAATTGAAGGGAAAGGAGGAGTTTATAGTCTTCTGGAAATAAAATTTTTATTATATGTGTATGAGTGTTTTGCCTGCATGTGTGTCTATGTACTTATTCTGTGTGTGCGCGCACCTGGTCTCCACAGAGGGCAGAAGAGGGCCTCAGATTTGGAACAAGAGTGGTGGGTGCTGGGGATTGCAGGATCTCTGAAAGAGCAGCCAATGCTCTTAACCACCGAGCCTTATCTCCAGCCTCATTTACTTATTTTTTGAGACAGGGTTTTTGTAGCTCTGGCTAGCCTGTAACTTGATACCAAACTGGCCTCCTAGTCACAGAGATCCACCTGCCTTTGTACCCCGAGTGCTGGGATTAAAGGCATGTGCCAACATATATGACTGGATATAAAATTCTAAGCACACCTAAAAAAAAAAAAAAAAAAAAAAAAAAAAACAACAAAAAAGGCTCCAAAGCTACAGAGAAACCCTGTCTCAAAAAAAAAAAAAAAAATTCTAAACACCTTTAAAATGACCCAGCCTATTGAGCTTTTAGAAAGACAAATTCCCTACTGTTTTCAACTTAGGTATGTACCCCTCCTACTTGCCTCAGCCTTTCTTATAGTAGTCACAGCACTGTACTATAGCAGCTACTGCAGTAAACACTGTATTCCCACTGGTTTTAAAAGCCTTCTAGTGAAGGGAGTTAGGAGTTAAATAAAGTAGTCAGTAATGGCCGGGCGATGGTGGCGCACGCCTTTAATCCCAGCACTCGGGAGGCAGAGGCAGGCGGATCTCTGTGAGTTCGAGACCAGCCTGGTCTACAGAGCTAGTTCCAGGACAGGCTCCAAAGCCACAGGGAAACCCTGTCTCGAAAAACCAAAAAAAAAAAAAAAAAAAAAAAAAAGTAGTCAGTAATGTCTTCAGAGTCTCCATATTCCTTTAGTTCTTTCTCATGGCTTGAGGACCTCGACAGTGTTTCCTCTACTGGGGTCTCCCTAGCCTTTTAGAACAGACTTAACCTCCCTGCCTTTTCCCTTATGTCTTGTGATAGGGCTTTGCACATGGTAGGCAGACATCTAAAAAATACTTCTAAAGCTAGATATAATGACACAAGTCTATAATCCCAGCACTTGAAAGGCTGAGCAAGAAAGATCACAAATTCAGGGTTAGTCTGTGCTAGAGAGAGGGAGACTGTCTAAAACAAAACCAACAATGACAATAGTGACAAATCTTGGAGGACTAGGGGTATAGGTTCGTGTGAAGAGCATATACCCAGCACAGAAAAAGAACAGACCTGATTTTCACTCTTTGAGTAGTGTATTCTCCTTTTTTCCCTGGTTTTCAATATATGGTTTCTCTGTGTGTAGCTCTCATTGTTCTGGAACTCACTCTGTAGACCAGGCTGTCCTCAGATTCACAGAGATCCACCTGCCTCTGTCTCCTGAGTGCTGGGATTAAAGGTGTGCGCCACCATCACTGCCTAGCAAGTAGTTAATTCTTTTAAATAGAAGCATACACTATTTGATGTTTAGTTGGTTTGGTTTTTGAGATAAGGTATTACTGTATAGCTCTGGCTGTGTAGACCAGGCTGCCCTGAAACTCAGAGATTCCCTGTGTCTGTGCTGGGACTCAACTTACGTCATAATGTTGCCATGGTTAGTTTTTACTTGAAATGACGGATCTCATCACACTTGAAATTTTTAATCAAGACATAATTAAAATGATTATCTGATTTGGTATATTTTAAAGTGTTCAAAAGTGCAAGGCAGGCATGGTAATTCTACCCACTAGTACTTGGGAGGTGGAGGCAGAAGAATCAGGAGTTCTAGGTCCACCTGCGCTACATGAGACCATGTTTCAAAAACAAAAATCTTTTAACTCCATTTATATGTGTGTATGCCTGCTTAATTCCACATTTACCTGGTAGCAAGAGCAGTCCGCTTGGTCTTCTAAAACTCCTCAGTGACTTGCATCTTGTGTTCAATGCATATCCAATTTTTACCCTGTGACAAAGGGAAATATTTTAATTGAAGACACCAAAGTGACCACTGCTGGGGAACTCAGAAGAGTCTTCACTAGCTGCTGGCTTTACCAAAGGCCCTTCATTCTCCAGTCTCCTGGATTGCAGCATGTTATCACACAGTTTGAATACTAAAGCTTCTGTTGTTGTAAACTATAGATTTGTTATTTTGAGACACAAGTCTCATATAGTCCAGGCTTGCCTCAGATTCACTCAGTAGACCAAGATGCCCTTAAACTCCTGATCTTCCCAAGTACCGAGAGCACAGGCTTATGCCACTATGCCTGCTGACAGCAGCTTTTCTCCTCCTTCCTCCTGGCTTTATAGTCCTCCCCTTTGCGGGATCACTATGGGCTGCTTCTGGAGGTGTTCCATCATTTGGAGCCTGAATGAGAAGAGTAGACTATCTCTAGCTGACCCAGAA